CGGTCTTCGACGGAAAAGGGTTTTGAATGGGAAGAGGGTCTCGAAATTGGTTGCAGATAGTTTCGGTAACAATGCTCCGAAAGGGATGGTGGTTTAAATTGGGAAGGGTAATTTGGGGATACTTCTTTGGGTAGTGTGTCTGTACTCTGTTTGGGGGCTTGTTGCATTGTTTCTGTATAAGGGCTTTTTGGTTATGGTTCTTGGGCTTGGGGTGGGGATGCATGACCCAATTAAATTTGGTTCCTCTAAGCAATTTTCCCGTATAATAATCATTGAACGCTTGAGAAGTGAATTCACCAATTAAATTTGGTTCCTCTAAGCAATTTTCCCGTATAATAATCATTGAACGCTTGAGAAGTGAATTCACCAGCATTATCAAGTCGTATAGTTTTAATTTCCCGTATAATAATCATTGAACGCTTGAGAAGTGAATTCACCAGCATTATCAAGTCGTATAGTTTTAATCGGATTGTATGGAAAGTGAGCTCGTAGTTAGATTAGTTGAGCTAGTAATCTCGCAAATGCCAAATTGCGAGTTGATAATAAGCATACATGCGACCATCTAGTTGAAGCATCAATTAAAACCATAAAATATCTAAATGGCCCACTTGGTGGATGTATAGGTCCACATATCACCATGTATGCGTTCTAAAAATCCAAGGGATTTAGTTCCAATCTTAGCCGGTGACGGTCTAGTAATCAATTTTTCTTGAGAGCAAGCAGCACATGAGAATTCATTTGTTTGTAACATTTTCTGGTTTTTCAATAAATGTCTACACAAATTCTCTATAATCCTCCGCATCATAATTGAACCGGGATCACCTAACCGGTTATGCTAAACTATAAACTCATTGTGATTAGTTAACTTCTGGTTTACTGTACCAGGTGCCTCAATTTTGCCAATATTGGTGTAGTATAAACCAAAAGAAAATACATGCAATTTTTCTAGTACACTTTTCTTACCAGAAACAATAGTCATAATATACAAATATTCGTCATTGCCTTCATTTGTTGTCTCAATATGATATCCATTCTTGCGAATATCCTTAAAACTCAATAAATTTCGTTGAGACTTTTCAGAATATAAGACACCATCAATTACAAATTTTGTTACTCTAGGCAATATGATATGAGCTCTTCCGGAGCCTTCAATTAGGTTTGCACTGCCACAAATTGTACTGACATTTGTTGCTTTATTCTTTAAGTAGGAGAAATATTTCAAATCCTTTAGTATGTGTTGTTGCACTGTCGATGAGGCACAAAATTTTGTCATCAACAAAAGGTCCAATCGGAGATAATTCCATATTCTTCATTGAAAGAGTGACATGCGCCAATTTTGTCATCAACAAAAGGTCCAATCGGAGATAATTCCATATTCTTCATTGAAAGAGTGACATGCGCCAAAGCAAAGAAAATAAATAAATAATAAACATATTCTTCATTGAAAGAGTGACATGCGCCAAAGCAAAGAAAATAAATAAATAATAAAATATAGGAAATTAAAAAAAATGAAGGTCATAACTCATATTGCACCTAAAACACATAAATATTTATTACGATTTTTATTTTATTCATAGGTATTTATTTGATAGCATAAACATTACATAGATACACTGTTATAAATAACGGTAAATAGCCCTATAATAGCAACGCTAATAGCGTTAGCGGTCCCTTGCTGCTACGCTATCACCCAATAGCGGTGACATATTGCATAATATGCGCTTTCCATTCGCAAAAGCAGCCAATAGTGTGCCATAATGGTAAATAGTGGGCGATTGCATGTAAAATTCGCTTTTTGAGTGCTATTTAAAAGCGGTTTGTGGTTTATTTTTTAAAATTAAACCCAACCCTTGACTGTTGTATTCTATCATCTCCTGTGAATTTTGGCATACTCCCGCCACCTCTCATAGCCTCTGGCACCTACCTCAGTACTTTCTGTCACCTCGTTCACCGTGAGCTCCTCTTAGGGAAGTCCTCTCATCGCTTAGCTCTTCTTCTCGAAGATGATGACTCTTTGACTCCTCCAGTCAGTATTACGTGATGGTTACATGTTTATTTCATGTTTAGTATCTCTTTAAATTATCAAATATGTACTTTTAGATTTTTTAGATTTTTCTTTAATCTTTCTTTTTAAGTATTTATACATATCTAAATTAGACCGCTATTTGACTTTGCGTTTTTTACCGCTATTTTGCCGCAATAGCTCTAAATAGCCTTAGCGATGCTTTACCACTACGCGACGCTATCTGCTATCTTTAACCTTGCATAGATATTTATTTGATAATGTAAACATTCTGCTTATGAAAATAATAGTATCATCCTTAAACATTATTGCTATCAATCAAATAAGGAATATTTTCCTCCTGTTGGATGAAAAAATTATCAACATCTAGATGAGTAATATCATTAGAAGGACATCACTCAGTAACGAAATTTGTTTCCACTTTTTTCTCATTCTTTTTTAGTGATTCTTGATAGAGCTCAATAAAATGCTTCGGTGTATGAAAGATACGCGACCAATGGCCCTTCATTCCACAACGATAACATGAGCTTTCCACTGAATTTTTGTTTGAGTCCTTGTTTGAGTCTTTGTTTGAGTCCCCTTAATCCTTCCCAATTTTCTTCTCATTTCTCTCCCACTTTAAGTGGCGAGATGGATTTTTGAAATAACCACCACGATTATCAAAACCACCTGAACAACCTCGACCACGTCCGCGCCCACGGGGCCACGACCATGGCCATGACCTTGTGTTTGATTATGATGCTGATACGTAGTCACATTCACTTCAGGGAACGGAGCAGAATCAGTTGGACGTGTTTCATGATTTTTCATCAGGAGCTCATTATTTTGTTCAGTCACAAGAAGACAAGAAATCAATTCAGAATATTTCTTAAAACCCTTTTCGCGATATTGCTGTTGCAGGAGAAAATGCGATGCATGAAAAGTAGAAAAAGTCTTTTCCAACATTTCCTCATCAGCGTCTTTTTCCCCACATAATTTCAACTGGGAGCTAATTCGAAACATAGCTGAATTATATTCACTTACTGTTTTATAATCTTGTAAATGTAAGTGCATCTAGTCATAACAAGCTTTGGGAAGAATAACCGTCTTCTGGTGATCATACCTCTCTTTTAGGCTATTCCAAAGGACAAGGAGATCCTTTACCGTTAAATATTCTGCTTTTAGTCCCTCGTGAAGGTGGTGTCGAAAGAAAATCATTGATTTTGCTTTGTCCTGATTGGATGCATCATTACCATCTTTAATTGTATCACCAAGGGCATTAGCTTCCAGATGGATTTTAGCATCAAGTATCCATGATAAATAATTTTTGCCCGTGATGTCTAATGCCACAAACTCAAGCTTTGCCAAATTTGCCATGATGCTATTATAAAAAACAAGTTAGTATATAATCAATTTAGAGTTACAAAAATTCATAAGTATTTACAAAGAAACAAACAAGACAGAGTTGATAAGACGTAGTTGATGGCAAATTCATAAGTATTTACAAAGAAACAAACAAGACAGAGTTGATAAGACGTAGTTGATGGCATGTGCATGCATCCAATAAATATGCAAAATAAAATATGTAAGACGTAGTTGATGGCATGTGCATGCATCCAATAAATATGCAAAATAAAATATGAATAATCCAACTAGCCACTTTTTTCTCCTTTTTTTATTAGACTGACTGAAGACATGACATTTTCATTTTGAATTAATAAGTTATTTATATAAAATTGAGCATATGAAGCATGATAGATGATCCATAACAAAAAAAATCTTATATCTTGCATCGAATAAATCTAATATCAATGTAAAATTTTACATGATGAAAATCGAACATTAACTGAAATAATATTTATATTAGTAAAATATATTAATCCAAGAAGAACCAAAAAAGTTTCTCAATGCGTCAATATGTCCAAATTCTCAATCAATATAATATATAATATAGAGATTAGAAATCTTTACCTCAAAAACAAACTGTTGTGCCACAGCGGGATAGAGTCTCGTGCTGATAACATGTTATAAAGCTAATAGATAGCAATATGAGTAAAGAGAATAGAGAGAAGACAACGAGTACTCAAATCATTCAATTCTTCTTTTTTCTTCACTTACAAATACAATCTCATTCCATCTACTTATAGGCATGTGAAAGAGAGATATTACATTCATCATATTTATGAGAATTTACTTGGGAATGTCAATAGACATCTACAATTAGTGCTACTATATCTCCTTGGAATACTAATGGACATCCATAATAATAATATTATAACACATTTATTTTTATTTGACTACTAAAATGAAATTCATTTTACCCCCACTTATTTAAAAACCCACCCACTTTTCCAAACATCAATACACACATTGTATCTCATCCCACTTATTTTTAAACCAACATGTATAATACACTCATTATGTATAATGTATTTACTCAATAAAATGAAAATTTCTAAACTACCCTTCATCCCCAAATATAACCGATCTCTCCCTCTCTCTCCTCCGTTTCACTTTTCCAAAGACAGCATTCACGGTAGAGCCCTAAACCAATTCTCAAACCTCAAAATCCCCAAATATAACCGATCTCTCCCTCTCTAATTTTCATAAATGCACCCTCTCCCTCTTATTTTGGCGTCACACACCTCTCTCGCACTCGTTTTGGTGCTTCACGACGAGGTTCAACTTTCCAGCGAAGACGAGAGCACTGTTATAGAGGCTTTTTTAGGTAATTTGATAGTTAATAATTTTTTTCTGATTTATAAATGAACTCCAACCTGCCGCTGGGATATTCGTAATTATCTTATATTTTTTGAAATATTTGTCGATAGGTTGTCAAAGATGTCAAGCAAAAGTAAATCGATGGGTTCTTCCCAATCGAAGACGAAGGCTACTAAGTAAATTTTAATTTATCTAAAATTATTGTTATCTCATGAATTTTAATAACTATTCAGTCATATTTGATTCGGTAGTTCATTTAACACTAAACAAATATTTTTTAGTATTCGAGTTTGCTAAAGATTAGAATTTAAGTAGATGTATAAAGATTAGAATTTGAGCAGATGTATATTCAATTCGTTTGTCTATTAAATATTCATTTAAAATTAATCACATGTTATTATTTGTATTATTGCATATATGATGTCGTATTTTTAACCATTTACCATTTTAACTTAAGTTTTATGTACTGATTTTAAGACTTAAATAAACTTAAATTTGTTTTCTAATTAAATATTGGTTTAAATATATACACATCATATAGTATAAAGGAATAATTTTTATTTATGAATTTTAATACTACTTGAAAATTAAATTCTTTAGCGGAATAAATATAATTTGATATTCGATAAGTATTCGTGAGTTTTTGGCTTCGACTTTGATTAATTTAGAGAAAATGATGAGAAGTGAGTTTTTGGCTTCGACTTTGATTAATTTAGAGAAAATGATGAGAAAAGTGAAGATGATGAGAAAATTGTGAGAGACCAATATGGAGATCATTTTTAGTTATACGTGTTACGAACCTGTAACCATATTGATCTTGCTAATGATATACCAGAACTTATCATAGCCTTTTCAATTAATTAGGAATTCTATGTTATTTTAAAACTTATTTTCTTTTATTCTTTATGCTAGCAAATTCAATGACCTCCACTACTCTTGGCTTCATTTAAGGATGAACTTGAGCCTGCAAACATCATTAATAAATTTGAGTAGAGATTAATGAGATGTAATCACTAAAGAAACCAATGAAAATAGTTTGGATAAAATTCTCTTGGAGTTTTATAAGGTTAAGAGGAGAAAGAGCCGTCGAAATTGAGTTAGAGTGAAGATGATATCTGTTGGAGAAAAAAGAAGTTTTTAATGAATTTGTGTTTTCACGGGTCAACTAGGTCTAAACGGGTTGGATTTTTATAATTAAAATTCAAGGGAAACTATTAATAATAGTTATATTTAAAGAAATATTTCTTTAAATCTAACCGGTGTTAACCAAAGGACCTAGTAGTAAATATTGTGATGATTTGAGGGATGTAATAGAAATTTCCATGATTTGAGTGAGTAATTTTGAAATATTGAAGATTTGAGGGACTAATTTGGAAATATTGAAGATTTAAGGGACTAATATTGAAATAATCCAACCATTAACTCTGAACTCAAGGATGTAAAAGGAAAATTGGTAATAATAGTTAGATTTGAGGGTTGCAATAGCAATTTCTATAAGATTTTGGGGACTAATTTGAAAATATTAAAACATTGAGGGGCTAAAATTAAAATATCACAAACATTATCTCAAACCAAACCCTATCCTCCACCCATTTCTTATTCTCAGTCTCTCTCTCTCTCTCTCTCTCTTTCCCCTTATTCTCCAAACCCTCTCCCGCCCGCCGCCCTCTCCCGCTTGCCCGCCCGC